AAAGAGGTTTGCTCCTTGGAAGAAAAGCTATAACAAACCTAGACAGCCTATTAAAAAGCACAGGCATCACTTTGAAAACAAGGCAAAGGTCCATATAGTCAAAACTATGGTTTTTCCAATAGTCATGTACAGATGTGAGAGTTGGACCATAAAGAAGGCTGAACGCCGAAGAATTGATGTTTTTGAACTGTGGTGCTGGAGAAGACTCTTCAGAGTCTCTTGGACTGCAAGGAGATCAAGCCAGTTGATCCTAAAGGAAATCAAACCTGAATATTCATTGGAAGGACTGATGGTGGCGCTCCAATATTTTGGCCACCTGATTCAAAAACCCAACTCATTAGAAAAAACTCTGATGCTGGGAAAGATTGAAGGCAGGAGGAGAAGGGGATGACAGAGGATGAGATGGTTGGATGGCATCACTGACTCAATGGACATGAGTTTGAGCAAATTCTGGGAGATAGTGAAGGACAGGGAGGCCTTTGCATGCTGCAGTCCATGGGGCTGCAAGAACTCGGACATGACTGAATGACTGAACAACAACAAAATCTTATTAGAGTGGTGCTATGAAAATGTATTTGACTATCCCACTGAAATTCAATAAGCACATCCATTTGCTAGGGCTGACATCACAACGCACCACAGACAGAGGCTTAAACAGCAGAATATCATTGTCTCATAATTTTGGAGGCTGGTCATTCAAGATGAAGGTGCTGGCAAGGTTGGTTGCTCTCTGCTCAGTCTGTGGATAAAGGTGGCCATCTTCTCCCTGTGTCCTCAAATAGTCTTTCCTCTGTCCTTGTCTGTATAACTAATCTCCTCTTCCTGTAATGACACCAGTCACAGTGCATTAGGACACCCCCGCTTGACTTCATTTTAATTTAATTACCTCTTTAAAGACCCTCTCTTCAAATACAGTCACAATCTGAGTTTCTGGGGGTTGGAACAACGTATGTTTGGGGGAAGGGGAGTACAACATTTAGCCACTGGTTGCTTTTGACAAATGACCCAAGGAAAAAGGCTTATTTTCACTGGGCAAGATCTGTGCCTGGTCAAAAAAGAGACATGCTTTGTGAATGGGGCTTTCCAGGGAACAGCTAGAAATTTCAGATAATGACAGTTCTGAACATGAGACTTTGAAAGAGCTCCAGTTCTGCTCCCCTCCTCCAGGAGTTGCTAGCTGCTCTTTGGTACCACAGTTGCCGGCTGCTGGGTTTGTTGGTTTTGTTTTTTTTCATTGTTGTCCATGCAGGGTCTTCACTGCTGCCCGGGCTTCTTCTCTAGTTGGAGCAGGCAGGGGCCACTCTCTGGGTGCAGTGCATGGACTGCCCATTGTGGTGGCCTCTCTGGTTGCAGACCATGGGCTCTGGAATGCACAGCCTTCAGCAGCTGTGGCTCACATGCTTAGTTGCCCCTCAGAAATGGGGTCTTCCCGAACCAGGGGTCAAACCCATGTCTCCTGCATTGGCAGGCGGATTCTTTACCACTGAGCCCCCAGGGGAAGCTCAGGCTATTGGTTTTTAAGGCTAACATAAGCTGAGCAGGGAGACATTGAAACTTTGCAAGGCTCAGGGTTCTTACTGAGTTCCGCCATTTTTCTTGAACAAACACTCCTGAAGTTCATTTACAGAGTTTTGAAGAGCTTGTCTTGTCAATTTCTGCCAATGTCCTCATTGCCTTCATGGAGGAGAGGGTTTTCAGAGGTCCTTTCCCCATCACTCCCAAGGACATCCTCTTAGCTGCTTCCTGCGTTGTTTCTTCACACCTGTATCTCAAGTTTCTAATTCTCTCTTCAGCCAGTTCCAATCAGATGTGAAGCTGATTGAGTTTAACATAAATTTAACATATAGAGTTTAATTTTAATCATTGTATTTTTAATTTCTAGTTCCATTTGGCTATTTACATAACCAGAAATGAAAATCTGGGTGGATATTATTTTATGTGCCTGTCTCTGTTTTCTAGTCATGTTAAAATAAACATATGCTTCCTTTAGGAGAAGAAAAGTTACAGTTGTTTTATCGTCTTTCCTTTGACTTCCTGTCTGTGTCTCACTTTGAGCCCATATAACCCTGCCATCACCTGCCTTCCCCCACGACTCCCAAACACAGCTAAGGAGTCAGCAACTCCAAATAGAAACGTTCTTTGAAAAATCAAAACAAGATGCCGTTGTTCTTTGCTTTGCAAGTCCTAGGAGCCTTGTAAACTTGTTTCAGAGGCATGGGGGTGAGGGGCGAGTCATTGGCGAGTCAGGAAAACATTGAAGAAGAGTGGCATTCAGTTTAGAGGAAGAGCAAAGGGCTAAATGAGGACTGTGTGGGCTCAGACTCTGCCAGCTGCAGCGGGTCAGTCCTCTAGTCCCTGCCTCCTTAAGTCCCGATCCTTAGGACCATTTTCTTCTTCTAGCCATGAGGAGCCAGTGCCCTGCTGTGGGAACATTTTGTAGATCTGAACCCTTCTGGGTAAAACATACTTGTGTCCTATTCTCCTTACCCCAACTGCATTCAGCATAAAGCAGTTGCTTAATGCATGTTATTAACTGTCCTGATGGACAATATATGAGTGACTGGTTGCTCCCCGGAATGAATGAACATAAGGAGGCAGTAGGAATATCATGAGTCCTACGGAGCTTCACCTTTGTGGTGTCTGTATTCCATTTTTTAAGTGTTTGATTATTTTTTATAGAATTACATGGCATAATATGTATATAACCTACTTCATATGATATGTAATGAGGGCTTCCCTGGTGGCTCAGTGGTCAAGAATCTGCTTCTAATGTGAGAGTCATGGGTTCAATCCCTTGGTTGGGAAGACCCCCTGGAAGAAGGCGTGGCAACCCACTCCAGTATTCTTGCCTGGAGACTCCCATGGACAGGGGAGCCTGGTGGGCTACCATCCATGGGCTTGCAAAGAGTCAGACATGACTGAGCGACTGAGCATGCACGCACAGATAATATGTAATATGTTGTTGCTGTTTTTGTCGTTCAGTCCCTCAGTCGTATCTTACTCTTTGCGACCCCATAAGCTGCAGCACGCCAGCCTTCCCTGTCCTTCACTGTCTCCTGGAGTTTGCTCAAACTCATGTCCATTAAATATGTACTATACTTTATTAAAGATGAATATATTAATATTTTCTTCTACCTGAAATCTCTTTTTTTTTTCCTTCTGACTTTAAAGTAAAATAAAAGTTTTCGTGGGCCCCTAAAAACAGGATGGGCTTTTAGCACTGAGCTTACTGAGCTAGAGGGAAAATCAGTCCTGAAGGGATGGCTGAATGAACACGCTTCCCATTCCTAAGAAGTTTCATAAAAGAATTCTTTGACCTGTGGGGGTGGGAAAATGCACCAATGACATTTCCCTATTTCACTCCAAGCCTGTTGCCTTGTTTTCTTTCCTAAGATAACAGGTGGGATTTCCCTTGTTCTGCCTTTTCACATGTAAAAGAAAGCCACTCCTGACTCCTCGGCTGCCAGTATCTCGAATGGCATTTTTGTGCAAATTAGAAAAAGTTTTCTTGTCTGTAAGCTGGAAGGGCGCAGTGAGGTGGGGAGCGACTTTGTTATATTACTGCATGAGCCGAAAGGCATCTCCACTAGTCCCAGGGAAAGTACAAACTCGGACGGGTTTCCCTTCCAGCCTTATTTGGGGAACCACTGTCATGGCCTATGTGTCAAGGACTTGGGAGGGCAATACTAATCCATGGCCTCCAGCTTAAGGGCATATAAGTGTAGTTCATAAGTCAACTTTCATTCTAAGTCTGTGGCTAGAGCACTCAAATCCCAGTAGGACTCAGGCAGGGCCTCTGAAAGCAATGTCAGATCCCAGTCATGACCTCAGGTGAATCTGGAGCAAAAGGTGGACAAAGCAAGACCATATGAGTGTGTACCTGTGTGCATGTGAACACATGACTTCCTGTGACCTCGCAGGTAAGCACTGCCTGCTGTGGGCCCGAACGCTCACCTTGCTCCCTGGGACCCTGCAGGAGAGCACATGCATATTGTAGCCCCCTAGATGTCTGTGACGAGAAACACACCTCCTTAGTTGTGGTACTGTTACCGAGTCCAAGCTTGAACTGCTCAACAGGCCAGTAAATCGAGAGACGAGTTGTCTTTATTTGGAAAGCCAGCAAACCAAGAAGATGGTGGACTAGTGTCCCAACGAGCCATCTTACCTGAGTTAGAATTCAGGCTCCTTTTTCACTAAAAGGGGAGGGTGTATGGTTGTCATTGCTCAGTTGCTCAGGCATGTCTGACTCCTTGGGACTCCATGGACTGCAGCACGCCAGGCTTCCCTGTCTTACACCATCTCCTGGAGTTTGCTCAGACTCACGTCCATTGAGGCAGTGATGCCATCCAACCATCTCATCCTCTGTTGCCCCTTTCTCCTCCTACCTTCAATCCTTCCCAGAAATAGGGTCTTTTCCAATGAATCGGATCTTTGCATCAGGTGACCAAAGTATTGGGGCTTCAGCTTCAGCATCTGTGCTTCCAGTGAATATTCAGGACTGATTTCCTTTAGGATGGACTGATTGGATCTCTTTGCAGTCCAAGGGACTCTCAAGAGTCTTCTCCAGCATCACAGTTCAAAAGCATCAAACGTCTCAGAGGGGGAATCCTTTCTTCTTGCAGCTGTCCACATAGTTCATGTCATGACCTTCCTGTAAACTCCAGCAAGACAAATGTTATTCTCTGCTCTGCAACTTTTTATCTCTGTACGAATAGGACAGTGTTGTACCTTCAAAGGTCAGAACTTTGAAAATGGGCTCTCCTGTATATTTCAGGTATAGGCAGCATTCGTAAGTTGCAGCAAAAGCAACAGAGTGCAAAGGTTAAAGGAAGCAGATAAAATATGGAGTCAGATCTGTTTCTCCCTGTTACAACAGCCTATGCAGGTCACAGTCTCAACGCTACTCGCAGCAGTACTGCCCAGCTCCCTGAGTCCCCTGGTCAGTGGGAAGCCCGCACGCGCGCACACACACACTAATGCTTCTGCTCTCCTGTCTGCAGGGATGACGTGCCAAGCTCGAAGCTCCTACATCACCAGTGAGATCCTCTGGGGGTACCGATTCACACCCGTCCTGACGCTGGAGGACGGGTTCTATGAAGTCGACTACAACAGCTTCCATGAGACCTATGAGACCAGCACCCCATCTCTCAGTGCCAAAGAGCTGGCCGAGCTGGCCAGCAGGGCCGAGCTGCCCCTGAGCTGGTCTGTCTCCAGCAAACTCAACCAACACGCGGAACTGGAGACTGAGGAGGAGGACAAGAGCCCTGAGGAGCAGACAGAGAGGAATGGTGACGTGGCAAACCTAGAGAATGAATCCAAAGTTTAGTCCCCGGGCCCGGGGCCACCCCTTCTCCTCTCCAACCCCTGCCCCCACCCCCCGCAACCCTCTATTGTCTCTCATTCTCTTTCTTTTCTGTCTCTTACTCTGTTCTTTCCTTATATTTAAGTTTGGCATTACCAGGAAACAAATCTTCAAGGTGTAAAATATCCACCTGCCCTCTCAGTTAATCCAGATTGACAAGGTAGCTTGCAGATTGGGTTAAGGTGTCATATGCCCTCATTTGTGGTCCCAGCCTGGTCTCCTCCCGGGATAGGGCACATCTGACTAGAGATTTGCGCTACTCCCCTGCATGTGTTGTAAAATAGCAGATCACTCAAAAGAGTGCATCAAAGAGTTTTCCTGGGATATGACGAGGAAGGTCCCTGGTGCCTATTCATTCATGCAGTGAGACATGGAGTCGAGCCCTCCGTTTTACACATCTCAATAAATTTCATCCACAGGGCGAGGTGCTTGCCCTCTGTGGGCGTTGCGGTTATAGGACCCAGGTGAGGTGAAGACAAAACACTGTACATATATATGCCTTATGTAATTATTTTCTTTTGCAGTTAGTAATAAAACCCAGCATGTACAAAAGTACTGTAGAACACAACTTCTAAATACTGTACATAGATGTAAAATCAATGTAGGTTTAGATATATAACTTTAGAAATAAGATTTAAAAAAAGAAAAAAAGATCCCCAAAGTACAGTAGGCATTTCTGTTCTGATGCCTCTGTTTTCTGGATTTCTTTGATCCCACTGACCGCTGGCCCTTCAGTGCATGGCCTTTGTTCTGTGTCCCAGACTGGCATCCGTTTGGGTACCTCACTGTTCCCTTTCGTTGACTCTAATAAGCCATAGGTCTGGGGGAAGTTTGGAGGTCCAGTAGATGGCAAAACCCACCACCAATATGCTGATATACTGTGAAATGTTTACAAAACTGAGGTCTCTTTTTTAAGACTACAAGGACCTCACTGACTAGCTTGGGGCAGAATTTCAGGAGGAGAACATGCTCTGGCATGCCACCAATGATGTGCATTTTTTTTTTTGTTTCTTGTATGTGTGTGGTTTTTTTTTCCTTCTTTTTTTTAGGGCGGGTGGGTTGGAGGGGTAGGGGTGACTACTCTGCGAAGCTTATGAGATCTTAGTTCCCTGACCAGGGATTGTACCTGGGGCTCTGGCGGGGGAAGGAGTGCCAAGTCCTAACCATGGGACCACCAGGGAATTCCCATCAATGATGTGTTGATGCTTTTCCAGTGAGTTTCACCCTTTGTAGAACCACAGTTTGAGAACCTTTTCTTCTACAAAACCATTTCTCCAACTGTTTCCACTCTACAATCACAGTTTAAAGATGAGACATGGTAAGTTCATAAAAGATGGTTTGGGTCTAAAGTCATGAAATTCACGATGGCTTGTAGTGGGCAAAGTATACTATAATCACTGCTCACACACCTTGACTCCATCTGACACTCTTCCTGTATCTAGGGGCTTAGCCATCAGAATTCCTTGCATTGGTATTTATTATTATTATTACTATGAAATTACCAGAGCTCAATATTCAATGATTAGATCAACAATCTTGGTGATCATCTAATAAAGACCTGCTCTAGAGTATGCCACAGGTTAGAAACTATAAATTCAAAGTGTCTCCCAGTCAAAGAAAATGACAAAAAAATGACAATCTTAATTCATTTTAATCTGCAAAGGTAAATGAAAAAAGAAAGAAAGAAGAGAGGAGAGAAGGAGGGAAGGAAGGAACAATATTTTGTGCTGAAAATCTAATTTTCAAAAATGAAAAAAAATTTCAAGCGAAAAAATAAGAGAAAGAAGAGAATCTTAGACAAAACCTCAAGGGCAGGTGGAGATTTTGCACTGAAACAGATCTTTCACCTTAATTTTGCATTTATAAACTGTGTGTTCCCTAACACAACCATCCATCACAGATATTCATTGACAGGATCCAAGTTCATTTTCAGCTCCTATGGTTGTGCTCAGTTTGAGGCTTTGCACCGTGGAGGTCGCAGAGCTCAAACTAGCTGCCCCTCCCTGTTGCCCTTGCTTTCCCCGACCAGATATCACAGGCCTTCACTGTAGTTTGGGGGCCTCGTGTACTAAAAAGCATGTCCCAGAGATAAAGCAACTCCTAAATTTGACATGGCAGGGGAGGGGGGTGTCTCTCTTCTCCCACTTCTGACACCTTGTATTAAGACAGTTGCATCTTGGCACTGATTGTGTGGAAAACAAAACTGTTGGCCGTAGCTCTCGCCTCTTTGCCAACATTTCACTTTTTGCATTGAATATGTGTTGAGTTGTTTTTTCATTCCACACACTCCAAAAAGGAGGTTGCAGTTGAGGAGGAGGGAGCCCCGTGTGTTTCTTGCCAGGCTGTAGGGAGGCGCTGCGGCCTTACCTCCCTGTAGCCTTGGAAAGGGTGCTCTTGCGTGGGGACGCTAACCCTGCAGCATCACCAGAGTTGCAGGGAAAGGCGCATGGTAGCACAAAGTAAGATCAGCTGGGGCTGCAAAAATCTGCTAATGTAGCTCCTGGAGTCTAAATGGGCCTTTGCAAATGCTTTACTAAGGCTTGAAGGACAAAACATGGACTGTTGTCAGGTTGGAAGAGCAGGTGGGGCCCCTTGAGCACAACTGAACAAAGAGCCCTAGCAACTCTTTGGGCAGACACGAGTGTCAGTTCTGTATCTGTGACAGGACACCCGAGTGTGAGGTCTTTCCCCTTTTCTCACTGTCTTTGGTGTCAGTGTGGCTGGAGACAGAACACGAACCAAATCTCGTTTTTGTAATGTGAGCCTCTGAATCTTTAAATGATGATGCTCCAGAAGAACCTTTTATTAGAATGTCCTTATCAAACTTGTCTATTTTTCTACAATTATTGCTAACACAGTTTAACAGTGTATTTTGTGTCAACTGTTAAAATTTGGAACTGAAAGAAGCTCATTAAGACTGAATTTCCTAAGTAGCAAGTATTGAAAGGTTTTTTTCATCGACAGTTCAGCAAAGATGACTATACAGTTTCTACCCATTCTCTTCCACCATATCCAGTCTCCGATCACTCAGTCCCTTGTTTATTTCCACAGAAAATCCAGCGTTACTGAAATAAGTAAGCCTATTTTAATCCTTCAAAATTCATAATGAGTGAGGATCACTCTCAACTTGATATTTTGATCTGTCCGGTGGCATATTTGAGTCCCTTTCCCATAAAAGCATGACCGTATCATTAGCCAGATGGGAACTTTAGGCTAAAGGTTACAACTTGCCACAGCTGACCCCAATCTGGAGAAAAGACGGACTCAGCTGGAAGCACGACATCCCCAGGGGCTGCTGAGACCCTCAGATTCTTGTTGCCACCCACCCCAACGTGCTTTCTGACTAGAAGATCACCTGTTCATGTCAGTTTATGTAACTAATAAACTTGTTTATGTTTCTGGATGTCCCATGGGCAAACTATACTCTTTTGGATTAACACCCTTGTGATCCCTGTAAGGTCAGGTCATTGCTTTTCAATTTCTTCAAAACATGGCTTTCTGGCCTGGTTTGATCCAATACATAGACACTCTAGGTCCGTGGGAAGGAAATCTCTCTTTCCCCACCCCTTCTTCCATCCGACCCTCGCTTTTGCTGTTTCCCTCTTTCTCCAGTTCTAGTTCCATTGACTTAGTTTAGTATCTTATGTTCCTGAATATTATTAATTCTAGCCGCTGTTTCTAAAAAGTTCAGCCTGTTTCTAAAGCACAATTTTCTCTTGCCGGTTTAACCAAACGAAGGCTCTGAAATGTCTATTTTTCATGATACTCTATAATTTTTAAATTATTTATGACTTTATTTAAAAGCCTAAGTTTTTAAGTTTCCAGGGAACATTCCTGTTTTTCTCTCCCTACGTTTTCTTACTTTTCCACCCCTTTGCTTTTGTATTTAGGTTGAAGTCAGTATCTTTGGGATATTCAGAAAGTGTTTATGAAGGTGGGCGCTAGTGGACAAAACTCCATTAGGAAACTATTTGAACTCACCGAAAGAATGTGAAGTTATTTGATTTTGATTAGCTAAGTGATTCAAGATAAAAATAAATAAATACAATATAGTCATTTCCAAAAGAGCTTGCCAAACTAGTCTGGCTAGTTTTCAGTCTTGCCATGACTTGGGTGATACTCTATGTGATTCAAGGGAGTCCTAAGGGCAGTTGAAATTTAAATGTCTTACACAGATGGTGAACTTTGTCTTCTATCATTTCTTTTCAGTGGATGGCTATAAAGTAAAAAAAATATAGGTGACAGATACCTAATAAAAGTTTCATTGATATTGCATTACAATAGAGTCAACTAATAATATCTTGTTTCTAGATTTTATGGCCAACCTGTATTTATGCAAATGTCATCCTTTAACTCAAAATTGAGTAAAACGCACCTCCGCCAAGTATTTCTGCCCTTAACGTCATAGAGAGCTTCTGGATGCAGTGTCATCCAGAAGTCAAAACTTGGTCAGGCTACTATTTGATTTTGACAAAATACCGTATGAACAATAATAGCAAAACAGTAGTACACCCTACATTGTGTGGTGTTTTGGAGCATTCAGAGCACTTTCATGAATTATCTCATTTAATTCTAATCTACCATGAGAGGTTGAATATTATAATTTACACTTTACAGATGGAAAACTAGGGTTTGGGCAAGCTGAGTAACATCCTCAAGGCCACAAGTCCAGTTAATTACAGATCCTGGTCTCAAATCCATGTGCAAAATAAAAGAGAGAGAAGGATATTTAGTGACATGTAAACATGACATCAAATTCAAATTCCTGAGTCCATAAATAAAGTTTTATAGGAACACAGGCACACCCATTTGCTTATGTGTTGCTGTGATCACTTTCACAATACACAGCAGAGTTGAGTTAATTAGCTAGAGGTCCCATAGCCAGAAGACTAAAGTATCTACTATCTGACCCTTTACAGGAGAAGTTTGCCAACCCCAGCGCTGTACTATTAAATACTATTAGT